ATAAGATTAAAATTCTTATAAAATATTTTTCTGCGATGCACTCTCACTGAGTTACAGGGTGTTGTTTAGAAAAAAATAATAACAACTTTCCGCAACAACTCAAAAACCCTTGCAAGGATTTAAGTAATTTTTGGACGAAGTGTACATCTATTTAAGGTCATTAAAACTAGATGGTGCTTATTTCGATCTGACGCCAGGGGCGGCCTAGGCCAGCATGTCCTCAAGGTTATGTCTTCATAACTTTTGCATATCCTAGTTTTATGTAATTTGATTACGTTTTCTTGAACCTGTAATCGATTCTGAACAAAAAATGTGCTCTTGTTTCATAGCTCAAAAATGAACCATTTTCGAGTAAATTGGATCTAAAGCATCGANCATTATCGCTACTTTGTACTGTTAAGTTATTCTGTAATTCTAACGGCCTTATTGGTTCTTCATATGGCAGGATGGCATCGAGGTCCTCGGATTTCGATTCTGGTGCTTTGGGTGCCCTTTTTGATTTTAAACTCTTTTTGGGGGGTTTGTTATTCGAGGACAGCAGAGGCTGAGTATCGGAAATCTGAAAGAGAATATGATGATTGTAAAAAGGCACACCTGGAAAATTTGTGGGATAAACTATTGTTAAATACGACAAAAGAAAGAATACTGTACTAAATTCTGAAAGATGGAAAGCATTATTCAAGCCAAGAGAACTGGTTTTCTTTCAACTGACAGAGTCTTAAAGGTAGATCTTTTTTCGAAAACAGCTTCAATTGTATTTTTTTAGAATTGTACTATGATTGACAATACACATGTCTTCTTAGACATTTTCGATATATGATTTAGAACGTACTTAAAAATATAATGACATCGAAATGTTGGGATATCAGGATATTATATGAATAACAATGCGCCGAGGTTGACAGCTTACTTGTGTGTACGCTGACCGCAGGAATTATTATCCTATAACACCCGTGGTGTACTAGTTTGTTATTTAATTCAATTTTTTTGCATATTGCTAATTTGATGTTTAAATTGTATTGACCGTTAATAACATTACTTATAATTTCTATTATTTAACTTATTTAATGTCATGGCAATTCCATGGCTATTTTCAAATTTCAAAGATGATGTAAATCGACGCTTTAGTACGAAAACATGTCATCTCAGATTTCGGTTGGAGAACATGCTAATCTCAAATTTCAATTGGAAAACATGCTATCTCAAATTAAGCTTGAAGAACATGCTAACTCAGATCTTTAAGTATAAACATGCTATCTCAGTGTGACTAGAAAAAGTTGGCACATTGAATATGATTCTTTTTATTGTAGTCTCCTTAGGCATACAAAATTATTTTCAGAAAAAATTATGCATCCCAGATTTTGTGAAAAAGAAAAATAAATGTATCAAGAATGGAACATACTTTAGATCCCTGCACATCCGATATCAGTGGGCAATGGACAGGCATGCTACCGTTGTACAAACGGTGTTAGCAGGCATAACCATAGCCGCGAAGGAAATTGCCCGCAGGCATACTACGGGCAAAACCATCAGAATCTACACGGATAGTAGACAAGCACTACTGACCTTGCGTAATCATAAGATAATGACTAGGACAGTATGGGAATGCCACGAAGCACTGGTTATGGCCTCGGCCGCTAACAGCATATCTGTATGCTGGGTAAAGGGACACGAGCAGTGTTATGGCAATAAAGAAGCTGACAAGCTAGCCAGGAGCGCATCGGGCCTCAACATTTTGGACCCGGCCCCTCCAGTGTGCTTCCGTTGTCGGCATTTGTTGGAATTATCAAGGAAGACACCCACAAAGAATTTATGAAAAGGTAGGATGAAACAATCAGCTGTCACTTTGCTAAGGAGCTCTTAGTGTATCCTAGCAAAGACTCAGCCAAAAAATACCTGGATATGTCTAGGTCAAATCTTCGCCTGGTGACAGGTATTCAAACTGGACACTGCTGGCTAAGGAGAAACCTTTACAATATGGGGAAGTGTGAAACACCTCTTTGTAGGGGCTGTGAACAGGAAGACAAGACGGTGTTGTATTTACTATGTGAATGCACTGCCGTATCGTCAACAAGAGAGTCCATGTTGGGAGAACGCTAGCCTTCAATGGCCTATATTAGAGAGACCCCCCTGAGCAACGTCACCACCTTTTTTACTGTAATAGGCTAGTTGGCGGCTCAGGTGGATTGATATCTCTAATGGGAGGATGTACAAGGGGCCCAATGGGGCCTAAGTGCTGTAGCTTTGCTACCCTCTCCACAATTCCAGACTCCAGACTCCAAGTGTATCAAGAATAGCGACAATAAATCAGATAAGAGTACGCTATTAATTTTGATATCAAAGCAAATTTGTATGAAAAAAATCGAATAATTTTTAGTAATAACAAACATTTTTATATATTAAGGATTAAGGTACAGACTATTTTTTTTATAATTTATTATTTCAGAAAACGTCGAGTAATGTACGTGTTGCAGCATACTGTTTATTCTGTTTTTTTAATTAACAATTTTGTCGTTTATAACAGTAACTTAACAAAATTAATTGAAAAATGTTGAATAAAAAAATAAAATAAACAGTGTACCTGAACATAAACATTCCTTACTTTTTTAAAAATATGTTATATAAGTTTATTATAAATGCACGGTTTCATATCTCAAAATAGGATGGATTATTGCAAAAACAGGGTAGTAGGAGATTAATATTATTTTATGCTGTCACGTTGACAGCTAAAGACAAAATTTATTGTTTTTATACTGAAGTAGCAATTGCAGAAAAAAATATTGTATGAAACTAGTGTTAAAAAGAATTCTTCTTCTTTGAAAATTTCACATCAAGTGTCAGAAACACTTGTTTGCATACATATTTAATTTTTATAGAGAACACTGGGACATGTTTGTGTCGTTATTAATGAACCTCTCCTTGTGTATCTATAATACCTAGATATGTTTTCTTGCACAGAAGGAACTGTTCGATACGAAATGGCAGCAAGACATCACAATTCAACGAATAAATAAAACTCGAGACGTGTAAATACTCACGTTCATGATATCTGTTTCGCTAATAATGGAAGAAGTCGAACTCCTCTTCTTCCTCGGCGGTCTAACAGGTACTGAATTGCCAGATTTTTCGTTATATACACTGGATGCTATCGACATGCACGTAGTCACCCCGTTCTTATTCCTAGGCTTCCTCTCCTTCGCCTTCATGTGCGCCACCAGCGATTTGTACAGCGTTGCTGCTATTACGATAGCATCCTCTGAGGTCTGACAAACAAATCTGCAAACAACAACACTGGTTTACAGGGCGAGAGAATAACATTACCGTATATTACATTATCAAATCAATCAAAAAATTTTATTTTTTGCTTTCTTTAAAATTGTTTATTAACGATTTTTTGCATAAAATTTTCCTTTTACGTTTTTTAAATAAGCCATTTCGAGAAAATCAATTCTCTACAAAATTTTTCCTATGAACTATACCGAAATTTTGCTTCGTTTTCGTGCTATATTTAAAAAACTGCAAAAGTGATTTTTCACCCCTATCTTGAATTTCAACCCTTTAATTTAATAGCACCTCGCGGTTTTTTAATTTTTAATGACCCTTCGAACAAGTCATGTGATGACTTGAACTCCTTGAACGTCCTGTGGGTACACATGTTTGCAAGTGACCCACATTTGAAAGCACAACGTCAAGAGCGCCGCAGGACGTCGCCGGACGAACCAGCGTTCCAAGAAGGGCTGCTGGTGCCGGCCACCAGACGCGTACCCGATATACGATCGACTTCAACCACAAGGCACTCTCCAACCACTCTCCAACGAACATTCACCCTGTTAACACGTCTTTTCATACACAAGTTTTCTGTACACCAGTTTTCAATAAAATTCTTTATTAGTACCGTTGAGAGAGCGTTTATTTCTTGCTGTACAGCGAAAGCAACCCTCAGTCCTATTTCCTTCCTTTTTGCAAAAAAATGAGAATTAAAACGTATAAGGGTAAACGCGACGAAAATCGAAAAATTGGCCAAGTATGAGAGGCCATATATCAGTCAATGTTTATCCAAAAATACTTTACAACATCTTCTTTTGAAGGAAATTTTTTTTCTATGAAGCAATGCCTATACTTATATATACTCAAAAAAATGAATCAGAAAATCGAATTTTTTGCGATTTTTTCAAACTGTTTATTAACGATTTTTTTGCATAAAATTTCCCTTTTAAATTTTTTAAATAAGCTATTTCGATGGGAAATTCAATTCACTGAATAATTTTTCCTATCAAGTATAGTGAAATTTTGCTTCGTTTTCGAGCTATAATTAAAAAACTGAAAGGGGTGCATTTTCACCCCTATCTCCAATTGCCACCCTCTAATTTAATAGCACTCCGCGGTTTTTCATCTAAAATGACCCTTTGAACAATTCATTCAATAAAATTGCTCGAACAGCATAGTTCCTTTTAACCCTGTTTTATTGGATATATTCAATAGCCTATAGTCCTATAGAAACGTTGTCGATATAAATGTAAAGTCGCTACACTTCAAACCTACAGTATATCAATTAATTCATTAAAATCATTCATTTTATTTAAGCTAAACGTGACAGCAATCACACACAACCCGCTATGTGACAGACAGCGGTATGCAAATAATTTTTCCAGTGCCTTTTATTTGATATGTTTTAGAAAGCGAACAACGTAAACTGAAGTTAAAGGCTGAGTTTTCTAATTTTTTGTCAAAGATTTCGTTACGCAAAGGCAATCAAATTGTATATAATTGGAAAGAATAAGAAATCTATCACACATGCAACCAAATTTTTTATATAATCCCATTTAAAGAAATATCGATGACGTCACCGCTCATCTACACTGTGAGGAAAAAAAATTGTGCGTCAGTATATAGAAAACAACATCCCATTTAAAAATATATATATACTTTACAGGGTGTCCAGGGTGTAACAGACTTATAGTCCGGGGTTTTTATAATCAAACAGACTATACAGGGTCTCCCGAAATTCATGCAACAAAATTTGGTCACAACCCTGTTGTACGAGAATCACTAAATTTGGTACACAGGGGTTTTATGGCATGTGGAATCTGATGGTGCAACGTTTTTTGGAGGGGAACCCCCTTAATTAATTTTTCGTGGGCCCCCTTGTCTTTGGAGCCAAATATATTTGGTCGCATATTTAAATTTCTTAAAAATTATCAGTCCACTAGAAAGCCACTAAATTTAGAAACTTTGTGTCTCTTTATACATTTTTCGTATAAGACAATGTTTTCGAGAAAAATGTCAAAATGTGATCGAATGCATATCGTGATTCGCCATTTCCCTCAAAAACATTGCGTTTCACGAAACAAATATCAAGAGACAAAAAAGTTTCTAAATTCAACGGCTTTCTAGCTAACTAATAATTAAAAAAAAATCAAATTTGCGACCAAATTTTTCTAGTTTCAAACACAAGGGGGCCCACGAAAAAGTTTCTTAATGGGGTTTCTCGCCAAAAAGCGTAGCACTGTGAGATTCCACATGTCATAAAACCCCTGTGTAGCAAATTTAGTGATTCTGGTACAACATGGTTTTGAGATATAAAAAAACTTCTTACGGGCAGATTTCAGGGGGCTGTAACTCCGAAAGAGGGGGCCAGTTGGCAAAAAGAAAAAATACGGGGCCTCTAAATTTGTCTCAAGAATCTATGACCGAATTTTGTTGCATGAATTTCGGGACACCCTGTATGTACATGGTATTCTATTCAAATAAGAAAGTATACTAGTGGTATAATGCAACACATTTTTATGTTTATACCTTCGAAGATATACGTTATTTTTCTATCTTACATGGTTATGGAATTAGAGATCATGCACATATTACATCTTTATACTTTATATGAATGAAATTATCTATCACTGACTACTTATAATAACAATACATCTATTGGTTATTCAACCAGCTCTCACCCATGGCACTCCAGTTGCTTGTGGACACCGATTTTCCTCATGACAACAGCGAACAATGGGGAATGCGCCTCGGTCGTGATGAACTTCTTCTCGCTGTCCTCTAAGGTGCGAAACAGCATTTTCTTGTCTAAATTGTCTGGGTCGGTGATGAGAGGAAGAAAGGCGTAAGTCGTCTTTGCGTTGTCGTGTATGACGAACTTTACGGCGCTCCAAACCGCGATGGTGGGAAAAGAATTCAACTGTTCCAAATCACCTACAAGATAAAGTCATTTGTTAGTTGTTAAAACATTGATCATAACATTTTAAAAATTTGTAAAATGTGTTTAAAAAGTGTAAAAAAATTTAAAAGCAAAGAAATCTTTGAAAAATTTAAAATCAATATGAACACATGTCCTAAAATGTTACATTTCCGACATACGGGAATTAAAGCTTACGTAAAAAAATATTTTTTTCCTTGAAAGGCAAATATTGGAATTGTGGTTTTCTATATGGCGCAAAAAATACAGGGTGTTCTATATGAATTCAAAAAGTTTTACCGGTTTTAAGTTTTGAAAATGTACCGTAACAAATGGAATATTTAGTATAATTTTCTTCAGGTGATTTTGATAGTGGAAGTTCTTTACTTATTTTTAATTTATCTTGTCGATAATGTAATAATATCTAGAGTGTCCCATTTAAATTAATGAAGTTGACAGCTACTTCCGGTGAAGAACCCTGTATATATACGATGATAAATGAGATAATGTCATTTTTTTAAACAATACTGCTACTGATATTTTGTCATTTGTCATTTTCTGAGAGAGCAGTGTAAGCTACGACAAAAAAGTTTGATATATTTTTACTCTGACAGAACACTACAAGTAGCGCCCTAGAACTGATTGTAAAATAGTTATCATTTACGTATTTGCCACCTCTGAAAATCTAGGCATGCAAAATTTGAAAACAATCGGTTTAAAGATATTCAAGATATATCAAAAAATCGAAAATAATGTTCAACTTTAACGCTTTGAAGTCAGCAACCTGTCATTAAGCTCTGTCCCATTATTAATGGATCACCCTGTTGATACTTTATTTAGATATATTTCAAAAAACCGGTTTTTTTTTGTTATAAAAAGCATGAAATACTGTTTCCATATTGTAGGTTTAAGCATAGTTTAGTTGAATGCAGGAAGGTCTGTCTACTGTGGTTAATTTTTTACTTTCAAAATTTAAAAAACGATATTAACGGGGGCGTTTTTATGTGTAATTTTCAGTGAATTCGTCTTTTGACGAGGGTTTCACAGAATTTAAGCAAGTTAGAAACAATATCTCTTCACTATACCAGTTATATAAAATTTCTCCAGGGTATGACAGTTTACAAGCTGACAATACATTCAGAATATGGAAAAAAGTATAGTCTTAATTCTTCTGTCTATCATTACATTTTCTGAACTACTATAAATCGCAGTTTTTTCTTGTTCTATCATTGTCTTACTAAAAGTATCTACGATTTCTTGTCTATAAAATGCCAGCTTCAATGATTTATGCGCGTATACCTATATCACGATTTTATTTCAAAGTAAATAAGTACGATTTTAATTCATTAAATTTACTTATAAATCATCCAAAATAAAATTACTTATGCATTCTTTAACAGAGGTAATTATTTCCTTGCAAAACGATATTCATTTTCATTTCTTCTTAATTTTCCTAAAAATTTAATATCCTGTACATAAAATCAGAAAAATAGCAACAATTTTAAGTTTTAAAAACACGCACAGAAGTTTATAAGAACATAAGTAGAATATTGATATACTGGGTGTTTCAGAAAGACCTCCCGTAAATACAGGGGGTGATAGTACGACAAAAAAATAAGAATTTTTTGTCTTATGAACTATATGTCTATCTCCTCTTGTTTTCGAGATACAGAGCGACAAAATAAAAGTTTTTAAATAGAATTTTTACGAAAATTTCCGAACGGTGCGAAATATTTTTATGAAATTTGGCATTCCGGGGTTTTTAAGGACGCCAAATACGGTGGCCTAATAATTTTTTTGGATATGTTGTAGATGGCTCTAGTTTTGTTACATTCCTATTACATTTTAAGTTCAAATTTTTTTAAGGTTAGGTTTTTTACCATTCGGGCTCCAATTTTTAATGTACAATTTTATTTTCTAAGATTAATGTACTCTTCTTAGAACTTCCTAATCTGGACGGTTTTCGAGAAAAAAGACTTTTAATTAATCTCTTACAATATTACGGTGTATAAAATAAGTGACTTTTCTCAAATTAGGCTTATGTCAAAACTTATCGATGGATGTCTCATAAACAACGCATACATTCTTAGCAATAGGTATTTTAAACTCTAATTAATCTTAAATCAAAATTTTAGTGATTGTTAGTGACTGTAGTTAGTAACGACTAATTATAGTAATTAAAATTTTGATATAAAGTTAAATTAGTCATTACTAACTACAGTCACTAACAATCACTAAAATTTTGATTTAAGATTAATTAGAGTTTAAAATACCTATTGCTAAGAATGTATGCGTTGTTTATGAGACATCCATCGATAAGTTTTGACATAAGCCTACTTTGAGAAAAGTCACTTATTTTATACACCGTAATATTGTAAGAGTTTAATTAAAAGCCTT